GAAACCATTCAGAGGTTAAACTGGTCACAGAAGGTTGGACTTTACATGACTTTTCATATCTTTAACAGTTTTAACACAGCTGCAGTTTGTTTTATGACTATTTTTATGACAGACTTGCAGTGACTCAATGTCACACACCAGCCTTTGAGCAACATTTTTACAACACTTCTGATTTCCAGACAGTAGTTGCTTTGCCCCCCACCCCTCTCCAAATAACAGTCATCCTCTTCTTCTCCCACAGCTGCAGTGTTTCCTCCACATCTGTGCTGTTTGGGTTTGGCTGTGATTATGTGATACGCAGAGCCTGCATGGGCTCCCCAGGCAGCATTCTTTGAGCTTTTTGATCACGAGACGATCAGTGTTTTGTCTGTCGGGGCGAAATGATCTGTATCTATGAGGTCCTGTGGATGTCGGGCAGTTTGTAAATCTTCAGCAGGTTTTTCTGCAACAAAACTAGAGTACAGGGGTTTTAAAAGACGTCAAAAGGAGATTTGTTGTTTTCTTCTGCTGGTTCCTGTGTTGGAGTCATTTAGTTTTTCTCTTCTTCTACCTGGAGGCTCAGGTTTGATTCTTTCATCTAGGTTTAAATACTCCCAGACCACAAACAGTCWGCACAAAACAACTGTCTCAGTTTTTAGTGACTAGTCTAAACGTGTTTTCTAACCCGCTCTGCAGAAGTGTTTATTCTGATACACAAAAGTTGTGGCACAAAATCACGTTTAGTCATCTGTTTCATTTTGATTTTCTTGCTACAGTTTGAGCTTTAGATAAACTTTTCTTCTTGCTCCGTGTTTTCCAATTGAAAGTAAAAATAGATGCAAGCATCACCGAGCAACCAAACGGTTCAGCAGGGTTGAGCCACCATGGTCACTCGATTTTATCACGTTCAAAATGCAGTTCCCGGCACTGATAGGAAAAGTACATTTTTTCTTTATTTCTTTGCTCAAAAGCTCTTTTCGCCAACCTTGAGGACACACAAAAAGTAAATTCACCAACTTGTCTGTTTGAAATTTAAAAAATATAAATACATTCATTTTTTTTGTAACAACTTTAATTTTTATCTGTTCAATTATTTTATTTGTAAATACCATTTGTTGAAAATTATTTAGTGCATTTTAAATGTACTGTTATTAACTCATACAAACATCTAAACATGTGCAACCATGTGCCATGTTAGAATTCTAAAATAACCACAAACTGCATGCAAAATTAAAAGTTTGGCTCTCTGATGGATGCTAATTTCCCAAAAACTCTTCAGCCGGCACATCGAGAATTATGTGGATATTGTAATAAGAAAACATATGCAAGTAATGGATAACCCTAAATAAGTTGTGGCATGTAAATTGTAAATATAAACAGAAGGCATCCATCCAGATCCTTTCAGGTAACGGGGGTCACTGTGCAAGGGGCAGGGTACAGCTCGCAAGTCCATCACAGGGCATACATACATGTTTTTTAAAAAAGGTACTTTAAAACATAATACAGTTGTATGGCGGCAACACATCACAAAAAATATTTGGTCCGTGGCAACTAAAGGTTGTAAAGTAAGTGTTACAAAAAAGAAAACAAAAAAAAAAAAATCATTTTGCAGCTAACTAGGTTAGGCTGTTTTCTCAGAGCCAAAGAACAGACTGAGACTAAATAGAAAACTTTCTGTGATCTGATGGATCAAAATTTAAAAGCAGTTTTAAATTACACATATCACATCCTTTTTTACTAAAAAGTAGGTCTATTATCATCTCTCAGCTCAAAAGGCCTGCCTCTCTGATAGTATGGGGGTGCATTAGTGAATATTGCATTGGCAGCTTACTCGTCTGAAAAAGCACCATAGTTAATAACATTTGACGTGTCACGAAACAAAAATCTTGCAAAGACAGTTGAACTGCTAGAGTCTCCTCAGGTCCTGGATGTTTACAGACTGTTGTGTTACTGCCCCAGTGCTGCACTATAACAAAAATATATTTATGGTGACAAATATAAAGAAGATTGAAGTCAGGGGGAACCCCCCTCTGCTGTTTCTGTTCTTTAAAGTAGTCCTACTCCACCTGCCTTTTAATCAGAACAGACGCCCTCCAGGGCTAAAAGAGCCACACCCTGTGAACAAACACACACCTGTGTCCTTGTGTAAACACCACACACTTACCTGAGTGAGAGCAGTGTTTTAGTAGCCTGAGGGGACATTTCTGACGTCATTCTCCCCACATTTCTGTCTCCTTTAACATCGTTTTCAGTCTAAAGATTTCTAATTTTGGCACATTCCTTAAAACTCAACCTCTGACCTTTCCCAACCCTCAGGCTCAAGGCTTTTACACCAACCCACATATTTACCAACTAGTCCAGCAATAAACCTACTCACAGCAAAATAATGTAATTGGCAGAAGGTAAATCAAAAGTTTCAACCAAATATTCAGTTTAGTTTTAGGGGATCAGCTATGATCAAAGGGGACCTATTATGCAAAATTCACTTTTTAAAGTTTTTTTTTTTTTACTCAACTTTGGGTATGTACTTTTTAAAAAAACAGTCTAGGACCAAAAAATGCACCCAGGGGCATTTTTACTGTAAGTAAATGTATTTTTAATGTATATTAACGACAAGTTTTACACTTCAGTCATTTTGTGATGTCACAAACCGTACGACAACCCACCGGAACCTGCGTTCAGCCCATCACCTAGCAAACCCCCAGGTGAAGCTCCACCTCCTCAGTATAAAAAGCCGTCACGGTTGTTGTTGTTGAATGCACAGCTCATTTYACAACATGCCTCCAATAGGGCAATGGGTAGAGTGTTGGATCAGAGAGTGGGAGACCAGGGTTTGAGACTCGCAAGGACACAATTTAATTATTTATTTATTTTCATTCGTTATGAACATGTTTTCTCATGTACCTCTATTGTTTAGCTTATTAAAGCCTTGTTAAAGCCTATTTGTTCCAGTTTCTGAGGTATTTTGACCGCTGCTGCTCCCTGCTCTGGTAACAGCATGCAGAGTGAGAGCAGAGCAGAGGAGGGGGAAAAAAAAGAAGCTGCGACCACGACTCTGCCTCTGGGTCTGACTCAGGGTCTCATATGGTTGTAGAACGGAGCTTCTGCTATTATTAGCCATGCTAACGTAAACGCTGGCTTTGGAGGGCGGAGTTAATGTCAACAGATTTWTGGAGGGCGGAGTTAATGTCAACAGATTTTTGGAGGGCGTTACCAACAGAGCTCATTAACAAACAGCTCTTCTGAACGGAAGTCAGAGCAGGCAGAACTAGAAAATGGGAAATTTTATTATCTGAGAATTATTTTGTGCATTAAATTGAATGAACATGGTCTGGATAGCCCACAGACATACCATAAAAATTTCTAGGACCCATAATTGGTCTCCTTTAAATGTGTTTGTGGTTACAATAATAAATGCAGTAAAGATTACTGAAAGAGTTTCTTTATTAAAATGTAGTGTTGTAAACCTAATATCATGTTTTATCAATCTATAAAAAAATCTCATGTCCTGCTTTATATAACCTGTCTCACCACTGGCTCTTAAATGTAACGGTGCAGCTTTTAGGCTTATCTATGTGCACAAGCTTTACTTCTTCCAAAAAAAGAACAACATTCACTGAGTTTTTAAACTCTAAAATGTAAACCTTACATCAGAACAGAGCTCAGGTTTTAAAGAAAAATGTCTTCATTTTATCTTTACACATGTCCTCGATGCTTTAGTGTTTCTTTGCTCCCATCAGCCGGCACACACTGACAGCCCTCCTGCTTTTAAACTGGATTAATTTTTAACCAGACCTTCAGCTGCAGACAGGTTTTCCCACAGGAGCTGCTGTTGTAATGGAGTAAAAGAAGCTTTTAGACTCAAAGAACTCAACTAAGAGCCAAACTATGACTTACAGAAKGTACAAATTATATTACCTTGTTCCACTAAAGTAATTTTAATTACTCGACACAATGTTATTCATCAATAAGGCAGTGATTGTAGCAGGATGAAGAGATAAATCTTGTTTAAATTTACCAAGTTGTTTTAATTACAGCTGACAGCAAATCTCTGTACTTTAAATTATTCAGCTGTTTAGTTTTCTGTAATTCATTTGAACAGTTTTAGGCTTGTGTCTTTAACATTCATCCATCCCCGGGTCTTGGGGATCTGGTGTCCAACAGAGCAGTCACTTTGTGAGAGATGGGGTTCACCCTGGACACATCACAAGTCCATCACAGGGACACACAGAGACAAACCGCTCACTCTCTCACACATTCAGGGATTAGTGTTACCAATTAACCCAACATCTATGTTTTCAGTCTGTGCGAGAAAACCCACATCTGCATGGGGAGAACATGCAACCTTTTTGCTGTGAGGTGACAGCTCTAACCACTGCTTTGCCTCCCCACCTGCTTCTTCAACATGAGTCATTAAAACAAATTTAGTAAATCTATGAAGGTCCTAATAAAACACAACCATTATTAGACAAAATGCAACAATAAACAGAAAAACAAAACAATAAAGATGAAAAAATTAGTTCTAAAAATCATTCTAGAAAACATTGATTATAGGACGTACTAGCGACATAATAAACATGACATAAAAATAATACAATTTGTGAATCATTTCACATATCTTTGTTGTTATTTCTTTTTTTTTTGTGAGTATTGTGTTTATGTTGAGTCAATTTGTTTTTTTCCTTCCATTAATCTAAGTGAAAATGTTTATTTTTTAAATGACAGCATGTTAGAGCTTTGAGTAAAATAACTGCAGCTTATTTACGCTTCTGTCACATTAAAATCACACTTCAGATCTGTGGATGTGTCAACTTTGTCAAATTAACCTATACCAGTAAAGGAAAAGCCATTGTTTCAAACAGAGAAGAAAAGAAAAACAACATTTTTATCAACTGAGTCATGTCCGTGTGTGCCCCATCTCATGGTTACACTGCCACCATGCTGCTCCTAATATCCTGCCACTATTATATTAACTTGCCACAACGCTGCTACAGACATGTTCAAAACCAAACCCCTTATAGACCGAAAGACCCCTGAGGGACAACGACGTGGACCCTTTTGGAAGCTCTCAACCCCCTGACGTGCTGACCAGCTTAGTAATCCATTCACAAGCGACAGCGTCCCCAAATGACTCRGAGGAGAAACCAGTGACGCGTGTGACGTCAACGACCCCTGAAGTCTCAGCTGCACCCTAAACCTTTCATCAGGCCTGAAGAATGACAGAGAATACGTCTTCAAGAAGCAACAAAGGAAAAACTGCACATAAATCTCTGTCTGAGCCGTGCTGCAGGCTGTCTGCTGGAAACATAATAGGTTGTGTCAGAGGAGGAATGTATGAAATGTGTAACTTCACTCAGGTCATCTGTCATCCAACCATCCCCTGCATCAAAACTTCTCTGTCTGTCTGTCTCCTCCAGGAAGCTGTTGTAGTATTTAAATCTTTTTAGCAACCATTAGTGTGTGATCATTGAAACTGTCATATTTTCCTTGCTTTTCGCATTTAGACAAAAGTGTTATTTTCCTTTAAAGTTAAATTAGAATTAGATAATGTTTCTAACCTTAGAGGTTCAGATGTTTTCTGTTAATTTCCTCCTGTGTGCAGCGAAGCTTTAGATTAATGAGTGTTTCGGAGAAGCCAGATTCCTGTGGGGCGGCTTCAAATGGGAATTTAAGAGGYAGGACAACATTTTGTAACCACAGAGGTGCATTCGATAACTGGAACTGGTTTGTCTAAATGACTGACTGGCCGCACTTTGGACCACATGGGTTTTAGATTCAGTGGATTGTCGGGCTTGGTGTAGTGGACCCGCCGACTGTGTAACCGAGATTGTGCTGTTGGGCATGGATTATTTTATCGCCTGACTGCGGGCTTGAGACTGCATGGGTTTTGAGCYGCGGAAATTGGGTGAGTTATGCCTCGTGTGAGAGGTCGATGGGGTGAATCTCTGGTTCAGATGATATGGAGGAAATTAAGAGATCATTAAACTTCATGAGTGCTGAGCTATCTAAGATTTCCAAACAACAAGACAARTAACAAAACCTTTTTATTGGGTTGATGGATGAAATTAAACAACTGAAAAGTCAAGTAAATGACAAAGACAAAAAGATCACCCAACTGGAACAAAGAGTGAATGAATTGGAACTAAATGACTTATTAATCACTGGACTGGATGTGAAGGTCCGCTCATATGCAAAGGTCGTGGCTGGAGAAGGAGTTGATTCCTGTCAGGAAGAACAGCTCACCATAGAGGATCAGTTGGTTTCCTTCTTGCAATCTAAAGACATTTCTTTAAATCATGACGACATTTCCACCTGTCACACACTTCCAAATAGATCAAACAAGCAAAAATCAACAATAGTCATTAAATTTGTTAGTACAAAATCTAGAAATAATCTCATTATGCAAGCTAGAAAACTTAAGGGATCAAATGTCTGTATCAGTGAAAATCTAACCAAAAAAAAAAAAAAAGGCAATATTGCATGTGAAGCATGGCTATTAAGAAAACAGAAAAAAAATTTCTCAACCTGGACTAGGAATGGTTATGTTTGGATTAAAGCAAAACAAGAATCACAAGCAAAACTAATTAAAGAGCTGCAAGAACTGGAAGGCTACTGAAAATGATCTACACCTAAACATGATTAAACATGGAAATTTAGAAAATAAAATTCATACTCTTGATGATATAATTGATTCTAACTTTTTTCCAGTGATTCAAGATTCTGGATCAGTTTATAAAATTAGAGGTAATGGATGGAGGTTTTTCAATTATACATTTTAATTGTAGAAGTTTAAATGCAAATTTAATCAAAATAACTGATTACTTAAAGCAATTAAAAAGACCTTTTTCAGTCATTGCACTATCTGAGACTTGGCTCAATGCTTTTAATATTGACAATATTTGTATTGAAGGGTATGATTTATAATATATAAAACGTGATCACAAAAGGGGAGGAGGAGTTTCTCTTGTCAACAATGGAATTAAATGTAAAGAAAATAAATCAATGTCTATGACAGGGGACGATATTTTGGAAGTAATAACTATTGAAATAATCAATAAAAACTCCAAAAACTTTGTAATTAGTTGTGTATATCGACCACCGGATTCAAATATTGATGCACTCACCAAAAAAAATTGTGAATGTCCTTGAAGGAAGTTATAAGCAAACATTCTTTTTCTGTGGTGATTTTAACATTGATTTGTGCAATAGAACAGACACAAATAATATTGGAACATTTATACACTCACCGGCCACTTTAGTAGTTACACCTGTCCAACTGCTCGTTAACACTTAATTTCTAATCAGCCAATCACATGGAGGCAACTCAGTGCATTTAGGCATGTAGACATGGTCAAGACAATCTCCTGCAGTTCAAACCGAGCATCAGTATGGGGAAGAAAGG